AATATCTAAATATTAAAATTAAAAGTACATTGTTTTATAAGAACTAGTAGATGCTATAATAAAATAATTTTGAAAGTACAATATTGTAATAAGAAAGTCGCATCACTATAGTATATGTGGACAGCCTACATGAACAATGAGATGACTTGAAAACCTGGTATAATGGGTAAATTTAAATCAAAAGGTTACCCAATGCTATAATGAGTAAATTTTTCAAAGTACAATGTCCTAATAAAAAATAATTTGAAAGTACATTGCTATAATAAGAAAAACTGAAAGTACAATGCTATAATAAATAAATTTATGAAAGTAGATTGCTATTTTATGCATTTTGCCCTTACAGATAATAAAATAAACGGATTGAGAGGCCGTTTATCAAATGCTTATCTGAGTAAGCGTTTACCAAGTCACATTACCTTACTAGATGAATATGGTAAGGACCAAGAATTTTACCCTATAAGATCGAGAAAATGACCAAAAGTCTTATCCGGTAAGTGAGGATGACAATTCTTACCATGGTAAGTGCTTACCGGGTAAATTACTACATGTGATGTTGTTTACTCGATAAGTAAATAGTGTTAGATTTTACCCATAAGCACTTACCGACTAAGTGTTTGTTATATTATCCTTAAATTTTTTCCAAAGTTCAACCAAACCCCTTAACTAATGGTTAGGTTACCTTATTGACGCCCAATAATCAATACCCAAGGCTCCCGCTTTTTCTCGAATAAAACAAGGGGGCGGGACACAGCGAGATGGGTAGTTTATCTGGGGCGGAGGCCTCCATATCAAGATAAATATTGTATCTATTTTTTGAAACAAAGAGATTTCAGTATATGATAAAAATTTGCGTTTTTTTAATAATAAAGAAAACAGTACTTTTGCACATAACTGATATTAAAATTCGTTACAAATTAATTAATGTGTTTAACAAAATATATACAAAAATAATAATAATAGTTTTAGCCTTGTTTGTTTTTCATAAAAAAAAACTCTTATCAACCCCTTATGTCTGATTAGTTAAGATGCAAGGTCATTCAAACTGTTTGTTATTTTTTTCAATTTTCCAGAGACATTTATCTATTATTTTCCTCTTACCTAATAAGAGGTAAACCAACATCTTATTTACTTTTTATTGTTTTTCAAATCTTCAATAACGATGTTTCTCAATCGATGAATCTTAATCGATCATTTCTCTCAATCGATCCTCACCAAATCAATCCCCACCTCTCTCAATTTATGTATTTTATTAGAATATAAATATGTTAAACACCGTTAATAACATATTTTCGTTTAAATAAATACTAATTATATAATTTAGATGTAAATTTCATAACGACGATGAATAAATATGTGAAATTATATAAATTTATCTATAACTTCAACACTAAAAATTTTAATGGGTTAAATAAACAATTTTAACAAATTCAGGCGTATATCAGTTTATAAAAATATACGGTCTTATTAATTTATATTTCAGACTTCAGTACCACCTCTTATAAATTAATCAGAAGCAAAATCAGATTTCAGTACATTTGTCTTTAATTTTGATGTTTTGTTGAGTAAAGTTTTCCTGAAGGTTCCGTCCCTTTTTTTTTTGTCCGAAAAACAATGATTAGAAAAATAAACTGTAAAAAATAATTAATGTCAATGGTAACGTAAAATCTAAGATAAGGTGTCGGACATTGAAATGGTTAAAAAGAGGGGACAAAAAGCACCAAACAGATTAAGACATGAAGAGCTGAATTGAAGCTTCATGGGACGACCTTTTACAATGCCGACAATACCCCTTTTCCCCTTTGACCATGACCCCTTTGTTTGATTCAATGCTTCATCTCCCCTATTTACAATCATTGTTGTTTAGTTGTATCACTACAAGTTTCAACGCGCTTTATCTGATATCTACTTATTGTTATCGTATCTGAGTAGAAAAGTTTGTATCTGAAGGTAGAGATGTGCAGAAAATTAGAACTGATCGACCATAATTGGATATCCAATTATAATTGGATTGGATCGGTCGGTTCTCGAATGGCAGTCTAGAACTGACCAAAACCGAACCGATCAACATCCAATTAATCATCTGATGTTGTCTATCCAACCATTATCCAACTATCATCCAGTTAATTTATTTTCAAATTACTTAGGGGGTGTTTGGGATTGTTTATAAAAACAACTTATTGACTTATTCGGGTGTGGTATCGGTAATAAGCACTTTTGAGTGTTTGGATAAATAACTTATATTGGTGCCAAACCGGTAATAAAAAGTTTTTGAAGAAGTTAAACATTTCTGACTTATAATAAGTTGATAAGTTCTTTTGTAGAAAATCATAAGTTGTTTCAAATAAGCAATCCCAAACACCCTCTTAAATTGGAATTTGTTTTATGTGAGGCTTTGGATTGTTAACTTCTCTTGTGTTGATTTTAACACATGTTAAAAACAATTAATTAATTTGTATCATTGTTAGATAATTGAATTGAATTAACACACCGGATGAATTCAATTCCATTGGATTGGTGATCCGATGTTAATTGAATCGGATCGGTTGGCAAAATCTAACATCCAATTCTATTTCAAATCCTATAAACCAAGCACGCCGATGATTTCAAATCAATTCCAATCCAAATCCCTCCAGAAAATCTAAATCCCTCGAAAACAATCATGCAAACCAAACGGACCCTAAGTATATTAGAAAAACTTTGTCATCACATACTTAATCATGTGAATAATCGTTTATTTTATTATAATACGATATTATAATATAAAAAATTATAAAAATAGATTGTTATTTTATATATTTAACAATTTATTTAAATATCAATACCTAGTTATCTTGTTTTTTCTTGTAAAATCAAAAGATGGTTATAATAAAGGTGAGGAAGATGTATGAGTTTATATGTTTAATTTGTTATATATATATATATATATATATATATATATAGAGAGAGAGAGAGAGAGAGAGAGAGAGTTTGTTTCAAATGCAACTCATTGCATTTGTACAACCAATGTAACATAATAAATTGAAATATTTATGAAAATGATGAGATTTCATTTATTATGATTTAAATATTTATGGAATGAATAAGTTTCACTAATCATGATCAATACTTTATATTAGAATACAATCAAAACTTCTACGAAATTACATATTAATCAAACTAAATGGACGATTGAGTTATACAAATATAAAGGGTTTTATAAGGGGGTTGATATCCTCATCCCCTACATCACTTTTCACCCCCTCCTCCTCACACCAACCCTCAGTCTCACCCTCACAACTTTCCCTCACTCTCACCCTCACATACTCACCCCCTCACATGCACCCATAGGAGGGGGTGGGGTTAGAAAAACCCTTTTATAATTACCCATCTCTCTCTATATATTATATACTTAAAAAAGTGTTTGAAGGAATATTGAAACTTAGAATTGAAAATATACTAAAAAGACAGTGACTTGATAATCAACAAATATCCCATCAGAGTGGAAAGCAAAATGTCATTAAGCACCTATATATACATACATGTTATATGGAGTGACAACAAAGCCTAGCTACCACCTCTTCTGATTCTTCAGCTTAATTACATTAAGCACCTCTCCTGTTTACACTTAACCACTAAATCCCTCTCTACCAACCAAAAAAACTTAACCAAAAATGGCAGCAAACATTTCATGTTCTGCTATTAACCAGAAGAATCTCAAGATCAAGAAAGGATTATGGTCTCCTGAAGAAGATGAAAAGCTCTTCACCTACATTACCAGATTTGGTGTTGGATCTTGGAGTTCCATTCCTCATCTTGCTGGTCTCTCTCTCTCTCTCTCTCTCTCTCTCTCTCTCTCTCTCTCTATATATATATATATATATATATATGTATGTGTGTGTGTTTTCTGGTCTTATGACTAAAACCCATCTTGTTTTTTTGTAATTGGGAAAGGGTTGAAGAGGTGTGGAAAGAGTTGCAGACTTAGATGGGTAAACTACTTGAGGCCTGATCTCAAAAAAGGTGGTTTCTCACAGCAAGAACAAGACATCATCGTTGGTTTACATCAAGTTCTTGGCAACAGGTATATACAATGACCGATCGAGCAGTCATAAACACACATGTTTGAATTCAATCTTGCGCTCGGTGTCTACAGATTACAGTTTTTCGTTTCTTTGATATATATCACTTACAAAATGCGATTGATCGAGTTATAAGAAATGGTGGTCTTTGGCAGATGGGCTCAGATTGCAACAAAGTTGCCTGGAAGAACAGATAACGAGATCAAGAACTACTGGAACTCGTGTTTAAAGAAAAAACTGATCAAACAAGGGGTCGATCCGAACACCCACAAGCCGATTACTGATGTCCCGAACCAAGTTAACGAAGACAAGACTGGTTTTGCGTGCAAGCAATCAGAGAATGTTCAAACTTCATCGTCGTCGTCGACATCATCAATGGCATTAATGGCAGCTCATGAACTAGATCAAGCTTTTCATATGAACAACAATGGTGGGTTGATCACTAATAACCTGTTTTTAGGTGAATTGGAGATGGGTATCGCGCCGATTGACCTAAACTGCGATCTTTTAGCTCAATATCAACAGATGAATTGTGAAATATCATCTTCAAGTTTTGATCTTTATGATAACTTGACTTCAAGAATGATCATGGATTCCTTCATGAAAGAGGAAGCAAGAGAGTTTTCGAGTACTAATTATTGTAATTCGAACATGAACAACGACCGTTTTGAAGGATTCCAGATGAACACCGAACCTGAAGAAGGGAATGCGAATCAATGGCGAGAATTGCGGGAGATACAAGCTTATAATGATGTAGGCGATTTCGACAATGGTCGTGCCGGTCAGTTGAAAAAGGGGCAGAGCGACTTTGTTCAAAATGATGCAGAAGATTTCAGTATCTACCAAATGGGGTTTCTTTCTGAAACCCTTTTAGGTGAATACTTGGATGCTTTCCGCTAAGACGAAACCCTAATTTATAACGAAATATCACGAGTTCAAGTCACGATGAAAACGTACTTCTTTTCTGACGACTCTTAAGAAGCTAGTTTTGGTGCACTAGAATTCGTCGTTTTTAACTTTCTACTCTTTTGGCGTACGTCAAGAAATAACTAAAACTGATACCAACGGGTGCAAATAATTCTTTTTATGTTAGCGGGTGTGGAACGTTGATGTTCTTTATCGTGTTATAGAGACATATGATGATATAGGTTTGTGTTCGATTCTTGAAAAGAGTGATTACAATATTCGGTTATATTTCGACCAGAAATAAAAATTAGTACTTAGATGATTCTTTTGATATCCGTCTTTTGTCGATGTGTACACATCCTATCTGTATGTTTCGAGATTTTTCACATATATTTATGGAAGCCACAAACCATAATAACGTAGTATATTTCTAAGGAGTTGTTTGTTTACCTCTTAATAGTTCCATTAAGGGGCAGCCTCTAAATCGTTAAGAAGTAAATCTTGTTTGACAAAAAAAAAAATATGTCTGTTAATGGTTCTAAAACTCTCTGAATGATTTTGTATCATGGGTCTCTCTTAACCATTCAACACTCTAACTCATTGTAAACAATTATATTTCATTTTGCACTATATCATGATAGTCTCACTTAATCATTCTGTATTAAATCATTCAGCAACTGTCAAACAACCCCTAACTGTTTATGTTAATCGTCGTTTGTTTAGATTACTGGCATCGGTAGATATTTTCCATCTGAAATTCGTCGGTATTCGTATTTGGTGTAATCATCACTCTCAAATTGCTTAAAAAATCATGGTTTGACATTTGGAAAGTCAAATCATTACATATTTTGTTTTAAACTCACCCAAAAAAATCTTGGATCACTCAATTTAATTTTGGGTCTGATTTTTTAAAACTTTATAGAAACTACTCATGAGTTTTAATCATTTAAAAAGCGCTTTTATAAGTAGTGACACAAAACCGTAGTTTGACATTAATCAAACTATAAAATAAAATAAAATAAAAGGGCAAAAATGACATTTAACGAAAAACCCACAAAAACACAATAATATACAAGTCTAAACGCATAAACTAGGGGTGTGTAAAACCCGGATTATCCGAACCCAAACCTGAACCGAAAATGAAGTATTTACGTAAAACCCGAATGCCCTGAAATCTGAAAATCCGAAAACCGACTTTTTGGAGAAAATTCGGGTCCGGGTTGGGTTTGATTTTTGGCCACCAGATATGTCTGAAAACCCAAAATATATATATTTTAAATACTAGATAAATATACTTATTTATCTAATTATCTTTTAAAAATTCTAAAAATCTTAGTCGGTCGTGTTCTTTTTCTAATTTCTAAGCATATTATCGATTTATCAATCATCTAAATCGATTGGATATATATATATATATATATATATATATTGCATTGTAACTAAACCCGAAACCTGACCAACCCGAAGCCGAAGCAATCCGAAATCCGAAATTTTAATGAATTTGAGTGAATGAATCATGATCTTGATCGATCCAATTGCTTACGGTTTTTTCAAACTTAATTTGATTGACAAAATTTGGGCACCATTTAATATGCAAAAGATATTTTGATAAAAACAAGTTGTGTTGTATGACTACAACGCTGTGCGAAGGCCAAAAGTTTTGATATTTGATAATTAAATGAATTTGATATGTTGGATTTAATGATTTGTTTTCAAGTCATATAATTAAATGAATGAAAAAGTATAGACGTATATTTATAAACTATCTTATTGCAACATGCCTATTTTAAACCAGAATTAACATACATACATACATACATACATACATACATACACACATCATGCAGTTATACCATAGCAAGAGACTAGAAATTTTCCTAAAACCAACCTAAACTTTTTCAATCGACCTTCCATATCATTCGTGTTCGCAGGACATAGGGATGGGAATGGCCCCCGACCCGTCGGGTAACCCGGTCCACCCGCTCCGTTCGGGGACGGGGATTCCCCGAAAAAATCGGGTCCCGAGGACGGGGACGGGGATCCCCGCTTGGCTCAAGCCGGGGACAGGGACAGGGACGGGTACAACACTCCCCGCCCCGACCCGTTTTATATATATGTATTGTGGGCTTTGGGCTTTGGCCTTTGTCCTGTTAATTGTATTAAGCTAGAGAATGGTCTAGCCCAAGCTAAGATTGTATTAGGCCTGTTAATACCCCCAAAATCCTTCCAGTCTCATTCATCGTCTCCTTCCAACCCAAAATCCCTATTCCCTATTGACGATACGACGACTCCTTCCTCAGTCCTCAATACGTTACGAGTTACGACTCCCTCTCCCTACCCTAATTGACGACAGCGACGGCGACAGCTACAGCGGCAGCGACGGCGAGAGCGACAGTCTCCGACTCTCCCTCTCCCTACACGTTCACTTCATTGGTTTTTCTCAACAGAGGTAGACATTGTCTTCTTTACTTCTCCCTTGATTTGTATTTCCAAATAGATAAAACTGCTATAAATTGTTTTCAATAGACTTCAAAAAGATCCCCGTTGGGGACGGGGATGGGGATGTGATCATAATCCCCGGCGGGGACGGAGACAGGGACACATACGGGGGATCGGGGACGGGGACGGGTATTGGGGCCCCCGCCCCATTACCATCCCTGGCAGGACATGCACATAAGTTTTATGGTCTAGAGCTTGATTCTTGCCCACAATTGAAATTGTGCATGCACGTTACAAGAGCTTTCATGCTAATAGATCTTAACTCATTCACTTGAGTTACGGTATATAAACAAGGGTTGGATTCTAATGAGAAGAAGAGTTGAGGTGAAAAAAAACGTAAGAAAAAATCTCCACCATTGGATGCAAATTAAAATGAGATGCATTGGATCAATCCCCGTATTAAACGTTGTTCATGGATGGGTTTGAGATTAATGATGATCAAAGATTCAGATCACTTCTTATACTTCTCATCTTAACTCACATTCTCATACGATCTTTCTGTCATGTAAACAAACCTTAAGTTCTACACTTCATATATGTGAGACAAGTAATACTTATGGGTACTATAGACAAAGTTTTTGGACAATCTTTATATTGTTATATTGCTCTTTCGAAGAACACAACCCCATAAAATATCTAATGAATAGATCATGAGTTACCATTAATCTTTTTTAATTAACCTGGATATCCAATCTGCTATGCAAGCCGACTAATCCCAGAACGACCACTCGCTTCACGGATAGCCCTGAATCGCCGCATTTGAATCTCTGCGGCCGTATCTATTCATCCTTGGATTCGAATCTTGGACCTCCAGGCACTTTTGACCTTTGAAACTCAAGCTCAAACCAATTGGACATCACCCTTTTCACAATGAAACACACTTTTTTCGATAGTTATTTTTATAATTAATTAACTTTTTTATTTTATAATTAATTTTTATATTACAATTAATTATTTTATGTCACTACTTGCATAAATTCTTGGATCCTTGTCTCCTCTCATCAAAACTTGCCTAAAATTGCATTAGATATCAATTTTATTATATAAAATTAATTCAGTTAAAATTACACATTATTCATAATGATACAATTACTATCAATTCAATTATAAATAAAAAAATCATATTTTTTATAAATAAAAAAATCAATTAATGGCTTTCATTAACAATCTTCAAGCATACACCGTTTATAAAATAAATCAGAAAATCATCGACGCCTCATTTTCCGATAGTCCTATCCGCCGAAAACTCTGTTTTTCAGACGGATTTCCGACAGAATAGTGCCGCCCAAAATGTTGACCAGTTTGGTAATGTCTGATGTATCAAAGCACGAAATAAGACAAGATGTTACGCATGAACAAATCCATTATCTCATTGTTTAGTGGAACAACTTGAATAAGGGGCCGTTTACCAAACGCTTATTCGGGTAAGCAAACATCAAATCACATTATCTTTGACGGATAATATGTTAAGAACCAAGAATCTTACCCGGTAAGAGCCAAGACAAGGACCAAGAGTCTTACCTAGTAAGTGAGGACGATGACTTTTATCACGGTAAGCGCTTACCGGGTAAATTGTTCCATACGATACTTGTTTTGGTGGACTAAAACCTTACCCGGTAAGTAAATGATGGTGTTGAATTTTACCGGTAAACACTTACCGGGTAAGTGATTGGTAAACGGCCCCTAAGATTCAAGTCAAAGAAGTAACATAAGACACCTTGAGACAATATCTCTGAACTCTGTTTCATAATCTCTAGGGGAATTTAGAGAGCCGACATCTTGTTGGGTGTCACTCAAAAATCACCTCGTATTACCCAAGGTTACAATTGGTCTATGCTGTCAAAATCGCGATATAACGGCGATATATCGGATATCGCTCGAAGGGAAAAAATCGGTCATAAAATATCGGCCAAAATATCGGCAACGATATTATCGGCGATATTTGGCGATATTCTGAGCGATATTTTAGTGAAAAATCGGTCCGATATTCCGATTTTTACAAGGGTTAAAATTTGGGCTTTTTTTATTCCATGGGCCTTATTTTTTGGGCTGCTTAGTAAATTAGGTCTAAATCTAAATCTAAACTTAGTTCAGACTTCTTCTCTCGGTCTCTCTCTTTTCTCTCTYGGTCTCTCTCTTTTCTCGCTCGAACTAAGCCCAGCGTGTCTTACGAGTTACGACAGAGCCAAGCGCCCAAGCCACTGTCCAGCTCTCTTCTCGATCTCCTCTGTTTTTCTTCTAGTCGTTCTCGATCTCCTCTCTTCTCTATTACGAGTTTACGTCACAGCCAGCAAGAGCCAGGTTTGAATCGTATTTTGGTTATGAGCTGCAGGTTGTATCATATATTGTTTATGAGCTGTAGGTTGTATCATATATTCTTACATTAAGAGTTGTAGGTTGTATCATATATTGTTGGCTATTTGCTTATGAAATACTACAAATAATTTAGAATTTGATCAGATACTGCTGTAGGTGAGTGGCTGATTTGGATGCTATTACTTGTTTCACTCTGCTTACTGCTTAGAAGTTAGAACTTAGAAGTTAGAATT